TACATGTAGTACTTTACCAAAAGACGTGCACTGGGGCACGGGGGGCAGTGTGTTCATAGCACTCTGTGTAAGCCCCAAACTGGAAATGACCTAAGTAGCCACCACAGGAGAACGGATACAAAATTGAAGTGTATTTACAAAAATGAGGACCAATGACCTGCTGCTCCAAACAGCTGAAACCTATCTCAAAACAGGTTAGGCAAAACTTGACTCCCCTACCCCTCAACCCAGTCTCATGCAGAATAAAACTGTGGAATCTTTACAGAGGCCCATAGGGCCCTTCCTGATCTGGCCCCAGGGTCCTTCTCTGGCAGTATCCCCAGCTAGTCCATCCTGGCTCTCTCCTCTCTAGTTCCACAGCCTCCTGCTATTGTTTGTGCACACCGAGCCTGCTTTGGCTTGGGCGTTTTCTCTCCAGTCCCTACCCAGGTGCTCCTTCTCTCACACCCTTCTCAAGGAAGTCCTTCTTGACCACCTTATTTAAACTGTGTCCTGGCCCTCACCTCCCACACTCCTGAACTCTGTCTCCGGAGCCTGCCTTTTCCTCTCCATAGCCCTCAGGACCTTGTTCTATGGTATATAAGTTATTGTGATACCACCCCTTGGAAGCTTAAGGAGTTTCACTTCCCATGTTCAAAGCTGTATCCCCAGTGCCCAGATCAGTGCCCAGTGCTCAATAACTCTGTTGTTGAATGGATGAAAGCAGACACGATTTTTGTCTGCATGGGGCTCATAATTTTAAGCGCTGATAAATTCCTTCTAAGTCTACAGGAAAATGGTTTTCTGTGTAAGAAACAGCAATTCTGCAAAACTTGTTATTGAAATGGAAAATGCATACAGAAAAGGGTACATCATAAGAGCACAGCCTGCTAAATTTTAACCAAACAGCTGTGAGCAACCAGCACTCAGATCAAGAAATAGAAGTGACCAGCTCTCCCAGAGGCCCACCAGGTGCTTTCATTGTCAAGCAGCTCCTTGTCCCTCAGTCACCATCCTGATTTCTAACAGTCTGTGCTGTTATTTTGTATTTTAAGTGAAGTCATAATACAGTATGAACTCTTTTCTGGCTTCTTTTCACTTAACATTTTATGTATGAGATTCATCCATGTTGTTGATGTAAGCTTTAAGAAATTTTTGAAGAACATATTGTTGTAGGGGACATAAATTCTGACTGATGTCAAAAGAATTTCTTTGGTTGCTGTGTTGACTATAGACGGTGGAGGGTACTGTGCCCAGGGAAGGAGGCCGGAAGACCAGCTGGAAATGAGAAATGACTGTGGGTTAGGTGGTGATACTAAGGGTGAGAGAGAATGGTTGGATTATGGATCGACCAAGGAGAAAGCCAGTAGGATTTGCTGATGGTATGGATGTGGGGTGCGAGAGCAAGAGCAGAGTCGAGGATGAAGCCAAAGTCATTGGTTGGCAATTAAGGATGGAGTCTCCACTCTCCATTTACAGGGATGGGAAAATCGTGTCGGTGGGAAGTGCATGTGGCAGGAAGATGAGATGTTTTGGATGTTCCAAGTGCCTTATAGACATCCAAGTGGAGCTGTTAGTAGGTAAGGGGATCTCGTAGGAGTCTGGAGCTGGGGGACATCTCGAGGAGAAAGTCTGCTTGGTGCTGTGTTTAAAAGATGATGGGAGGTGGGGGGCACCTGGGTGGCTTGTTCAGTTTGGCAACCGACTCTGTTGGGCTCAGCTCATGATCTCAGAGTCATGGGATCGAGTCCCGTGTCGGGCTCCACACTGAGTGAGGAGTCTGCTTCTCTCCCTCTGCCCCTCACCCTGCTTGCACATGTACTCTCTCTAAAATAAATAAATTAAAAAAAAATGATGGGAGGAAGGCAAGTGAAGACAAATATGAGAACAGACAACGTTTCTAGACACGGTACTACAGATGGGAAAAAGATACATGGGCCAGTGGCTGCAAAGCGCTGTGGGGTCAAGAGAGGTTTCTCTAGATTTTTCTTTTGCTGTGTGAGTTGAGAGAAAGGACAGCTGTTGTTATGCTAATGAGAAGCTCTAGAAAGGAAAACTCCATGGAGATTCTGTAGTAGAGGAACTGCTCTCTTCACAAGGCATTCCCAGCACCTAGAACAGAGGCCTTCAAGAAATAGTTGTTTAGTAAATGACTTTGAATTAATCAAACACATCCCTAGCAAGAGTTATCTTAACTTCATGTGAAAATAAAAACCAGAGAACTTTCTTAGGACTGCAGCTAGAACAATGTAACTGCACCCTACTATGACAAAGCTTATTAGAAACATCCATATGTGTAGTGGACAGAACTTGCCTCCTGAAACCTGAGTGAGACTTAAATACTGGTCCCTGGGTCAGATGAGAGCACAGGTATCAGTGAGCAATGATGCCACCGTTCCAGCCTCTTTGGAGGCTATCACCTAGCTATCGCTGCTTTCCTCAAGATGACCTACGTGCTGAGGCTTTGTTTACCTTGGAGCAGCACGAAAGTGTTTACAGGACAGATTCTGGAGCCACACTGCTTAGGTGCAAACCCGAGGTCTCCTGCTTATTGTCTTGGGCAAGTTATTTAACTCCTTCATATCTCAGTTTCCTTAGCTGCATAATGAGATCAATAATAGTACCTATTTCACAGGCTTGCTATGAAGATTAAGGAAATGATATTCATAAGTAAGTAGACTAATGCTTAGCACATGTTAAATTACATGACTAAATTACAATTTTAGGAATGGCCAATGCCACGTGGCTTTAGATAAAGTTTAGGATTCACCCATCTCTCTTTCTTTTTTTAAGATTCTATTTATTTATTTGAGATAGAGTGAGAAAGTATACAAGCGGAGAGGAGGGCAGGGGGAGAGAGAGAATCCCAAGCAGACTCTGTGCTGAGTATACAGCTTGATGCAGGGCTCCATGTGGGGCTCGATCTCATGACCCTGACATCATGATCCAAGCTGAAATTGAGAGTCAGATGCCTAACTGACTGAGCCACTCAGGTGCCCCTCCTTTGTTTCTGATATTCCCTGATGGTTCAAATCCTCTTCCCTTATCCTTTTTTTTATCTTGCCTTCTCTCTTGATCTCATGCACAAATGTTCCCTAGATCTATCTGTTAGTAGCATCCCCTGCTTGAACTTTCTTCTCTTTCTTGTGTACAGAATGTTCTCTAATATCAATTGCCAAATCATTGCCTTTCTTAAACAAAAGGATTCTTGTTTTTGTTCCCCACTAACAAGGAGGTGTGTTACCCGTACTGCTTTGCTCTTAAAACCCCCAACTTCTAAGGTTTAACTCTCTGGCCGACTGTGTCTTGGATAATAAAGGAGTAGAGAGACATGTGTGGCTCCTTGTTCAAGTTCTCCTGATAAAACTGCTGTATTATTTCACTTCTCTATGAGTGATGAGGGATAGAAAAAAAATCATGAGAAGGAAAAGGAGGATGGGAGCAATGGCATATACTGGGCCCTTCCTTTGTGTCAGTCTCTGAGCTATTTAAATGTTCTCACTCATTTAAGTCCTACCACAGCTTTGTGGGGTGTGTACCAGTATTAGTCCCACCTTAAAAACAAGAGGGCATGGAAGCATACAAAGGTGAAGGAAGTTGTCGCAGGTTACATGGTTAGTCTGTAGTAACACCGAGAATCCCACCTAGTGACCTTTAGTGCTCCACATTTGAAGACCCCACACACCACAGCTTTGGACAGACTGGGCAACTGAATGAACAAAGCCCTGAAAACTTAGGGGACGGTATTACAAAATAAGATAGGTGCCAACATAGCGTATCTTGGCTTACTTTTGAAGGAAAAAAGACTCTACTATCTTTTACCATTAGCAAGAAAGGACTGAAAAAAATCACTAAGGTGAGAGATCTTAGACTGAAGGACAGAAGAGCAACTGTAATTTATGAAATATTTATCCCCAGAAATGAATCTACCAGTAGTCTGGATAAACCACAGGGAAACACTGGGGATCAGTGAAACAAGATGGTCTCTAAGTTGACCATGGTTGAAATGGAGAGGTAGAAGGTACACAGGCATGTGCTACAGTATTCTTTCTACCTTTGCTTTGAACTGTCCAAAATAAAAAGTTCCCCAAAATTAACTTAAAAATACCATGGAGAAAGTGTTCCACCAAACGCCTCCTAGAAGGCTCTGAATTTCAGCTGTGCTGGGCGTATTACTCCAACATCTATCTCTTAACAGTTGGCCCGAGTGCAACATCCCCGTCTCCAAGGAGGCTGCCTGCCCTCTTGGCAGCAGGGTGAGCGCCATGATGCAGCTGCCGCCGGCATGCTGAGAGAGAGCTGGAAGGGGGGGATTCTAAGGCAAAACAAGAGTAAGTCACAAAGAACATGTGAGTCAAAATTCAAGGACCCCACACCCGCGACTCTGATCACGCAGCCGAGCTTGGCAGCCTGTGGAAGCAGAGGTGGGGGCTGAGGGCCCAAACAGGTGCATGAGTTCCCCCGGCAAAAAGCAGCCCTCTCCCTTACACACAGAGTCTTTCAATTTTTTTCATTTGCATAATAAAATGGGTCTTTAAAGAGAAGAATGAGTATGTGAACCACAATGGAGCACAAAGAAAAGAATCAATTAACCTTACGGTTAATAGCCAAATTTTAAAAAATTACTTCAAATATTACGTTCATAAAGCATATTCGTTATTTTTGTGATTAATCCTGTTGACAGAAGGGCTGCTATGACAATGTTCTTGAATGTAAGTTCCTTCATATAATCTAGCTTTAATACTTCTTTTTCAAAGTAATATTTGTCCTTACATGGTTTAAATAGCAGTATGCCATGTCAGATTTTTTTTTTTTTAAAATCTGGGGGAGAAGATAAATTTCCAGCAAAGTGTACAGTTAATCACCTATTTTTATGTCTGTATAAAAATTATTTCTTGTTCATCAGTTAACCTTTTAAAAAAATGGGCTGGCTAAGTTTATCTTGTATTCCTCACATTCTATGATCTTTGTTTCAAATAATTCAAAAAGGCTTATAGACACTATTCCTCTCTTTCTTGCAGAGGGGCTGCAAAGATTCATGAGGTTCAATCTGCAAAATCTTCTCAGAGCTTTGGAAGAAAATACAGTCCAAGAATACAAGGCACATAACACTTTTAAGAGAAGGCTTAGAAAAATGAAGTCACTTCCCTGGAGCAACAGAAGGTTAGTGGCATCCTGTGAACCTCACTCTTGGGTATTTGAAAGCAAGGAAATGCAGGTTTGAGAACAGACTACATTTTTCCTGGCACAGAAGCCCCCCAAACCACCATGAAATCTATTAAGGGGTGCCAATTTTGCAAACCCGCGAACAATTTGAAGCCTTCATCTCCTTAGCCCTACCCGACTAAAATATGAATATTTTATTAATATGAACATCACCTCTATTTGGCCTCTTTTTAAACTTCCTGCTTTTTAAGGCAACCCGTGCCTCAGATAAGCAGAGATAAAATAGTGTCCAATAAAAGCAAAATATTGAATCATTAAAATTTAGAAACCAACCTTAACCAAAACAGTCACAGAACCTATTAGAAGAATATGAAACGAGGTATAAAACACACATCTAACACATTCAATTTACATGCAAAGAAGGTAGCTATAGGCTAAAGCTTATTTCTAGGAAACGAGTTACAGTAAGAAGAGGTAATGTCAAGCTCTGGCTGTCTATGCCTTTAAATTCTAACATCTATAAATAAAAGACATGTTCCTTTGAACAATAGCCCGAACAGGCAACACTGTCACTTTATCTCCCCAGATAACTATCCATTCTATTCTGGCTTCAGCTGGTATCTGCTTGCATTACATCAGCGTCTTGATGGGGGTGGTTTGGGGGGCAAATCTGAGTCAGAAGCGTCAGGGGACAAGAGGTTAGAAGGTGAGAGAAGCAACAGCACAGTTAAGGGCAGTACTCAGGCTCCCTATTTATTTATTTATTTTTTCTAAGAGGCTAGTTGTTAATAAATGTCTGGCTAGCTGATAAAAGCCAGGGGACTGGTCTCTTATACCTATATATGTCCTAAAAAGTAGTCCCCTTTCCCTAGGAAGAAATTTGCTGCTTTTCTGCAAGTCCTCCATACCCACAACCTAACACCTGCATAACACAAGTGCTCACTTGTGGCACTTGAATGGGGTCCCCTTACTTCTGAGTTATTCTAGGTACCCCAGACTTGATTTTTTACATCTAGGGGTTAGGCCAAAGAAACAATCAAAAGCCCAGAACACCTGACCACTGATACAGATATATTAGGCACGAAATAAGGTTGAATTCACTGCCAGCCTGTTTCCCATATGGCCTGGCCTCCCACTTTGAGGATGCCATATTCTGGGGTAGCAAACTAAGAGGCCAGGTTAGAAAGTAGATATTTTCTTTGCTCCCTTTCCTTTCTGATTTCTGACATCATTTCAATTTACAACTTGGCTCATGATTTTTTTTTTCAGTGTTCGCTCCCTTTTCTTCCCTAGCCCCTCACCCCCAGTGTTTCCACCAGCTTATGCTTTCTGCTTCTTCCATCTTTCTTTAAAAAACAAAACAAAACAAAACAACAAACAAACAAAACCCAAATCCTCCTGACTTCCTCTTTTCAGAACTCCAGCTGAACCTATGCAAGTGAAGAGGGGGAAGTAAGCAGGCTGGCACTGGCTTCTGTAATCTGTTCCATGCATTCTTGGAAAAGTGGCTTCACTGAAGCCGGAAAATATTCTGTACAGCCAACTGGGGTGGGGGTGGGGGAAGCAGTGGAAAGAGGAAAGAGAAGCATTTTAGGAAAGGAACCAGCAAGAAACAGCATGTTCAGCATGGGATCCTGTTTAATACTGGTCTGGGAAATAAAAAAGGCTATTCCAATGATTTTTTTAAAATATTTTTAAAAAGTTAGTTTATAGAAGTTCATCATCTCTGACCTTAAGTTATCCAGGAATCTTGTGTTTTCCTATAGGCCTTCCCCCTCATTCTTGCCAGCACACATTTCACCCCTGCTCTCCTCTCCTCTCGTCCTACATCACCACCTGGCCCCTTGCTGCCAGCCGGTGGGCTAACATACCACTCTGCAGAGAAAACAGGAATCATCAGGCGAGGATTTCTTCTACTTACCGCGCCCAAAAAACTTCTCTGCATCTCTACCACTCCATGCTTCCCTCCTGCCACCACAGGCAAGTTGCCCTCTTCCCACCCAAATCGAACTCCTCCCCAGTGCTCCACATCCATCCCGTCGTCCCTACACTTCAAGGACGTGGCTTCGTCTGTTAGGAGATGGCTCCCAATTGCTGATCTTTTATAAAGTCAATTTACCATTTACAGAGAATTCGGCTGAGGTCTTTCGCACCCACTGGCATCTTACCCACTGAACGCCCACATTATTTCTCTCCTTTATTTCACAGCCAGGCTGAGACGATTGTTGACACTCGCTGTCTGTTTCACTCCTCACCCACTGCAATCTGCCTTCTCTCTCTGCCCCTGTGCTGACACTGCTTTTGTTCAAGGTTACTTATAATCACACTGTGCTTAACTGAGAAGATGTTCTGAAGTGCTAACCTTATATGACTTCTTTGTAGCACTTAAGACTGGTCACCCTGAGTTTTTAGTTTCTGGCTTCTGTACCACTTAGTGTTGCCTCTATCTGTCTGGCTGATTATTCTTTTGTCTGTTTTTGAAATGATAGTCTCCAGGGTCTCATTTCTGTTCCTTTATTCTTCCTCGTCTCAACACAATTCCTTGGAGGGGCTTATCCATATCCATGGTTCCTACTGCCCCATCCCTCCACTCCCTGAAAGTAGGTAAGTATGTGGAGGCACGCATGTGTGTACACACGCACATGTCCATACCCATCTCAAACCTAGACTTACACTTAGGGCTCCTGACCCACATGTTCAAATCCTATTATACCTCTTCTTTTGGAATACTGAGCTCAACATGTTCTGAACCTGACAAGTTTTGCCCAGCTCTATCCCAACCCAATGCTCTTCTAATACTTTTTGTATAATAACTGCCAAACACAGATGCCTAAATTATCTTTGACTTCTCTCTCCCTGGATGCTTCCCCCATCCAGTAAATGACTGAGTCCTACTGATTTTGAGGTCTCTAATGTCTCCCCAAGTCCCATCATTTCTCATCAATCCCACCGTCTCTTCTCTTAATGCAAGCCACCATAGCCTGTGTCATGAATGCTGCATATGGCCTTACTACACTATATTATACTTACTACACTTACTACATTACATTCTCCCTCTCGCTGGTCCTATCGAACACACATGCTCTTCCTTGCTTAATGCTTCTCAACGCCTTTGGACAGAAGAACAAACTCCGTATCGTAGCACATAAGGTATGATCTGGCCTTGCTTACCCGTCTGATTTATTATATTACCATTCCCTAACGTCTTCATCCATACCAAGCTATTTACTATCATCATTTACGCCATCATGCCAAGCTCTCCCTTAAGCTCTGAGCTTTAGCTCATTGGATTACTTCTGCCTTAATGAGGACATTGGTCTTTCTCTCTTCTTCTTCTCCCTTCATCTTGCCTTTTCAACTAACCCTTCAGGATGCACACCAGGACTCTTTCAGAAAGATCTTCCCAAGTAACTCCTCAAACCTGGGCCCAGTGCTTGCCCGTGTATTCCTACAACAGCTTGTGCTTCTCTCTCTCACTGCACAAATCATACTGGACTAGAATTCTCTGTCACTCTCATAAAACCATGGTCTGCTCAAAGCCAGGGACGATAGCTTTCATCTCCATTCCCCCTGGCAATCGGAGCAATGCCGCTCATAATAGATGATTGATACATGTTTACTGAATGACTAAATAATTTCAGTTTCCTCATGAACTTCATATTCAGATTTATTCAGAATAAGCCAGGAATTATGTTAAGCTGCATTTCCATATCTGTTTTTTTTTTTTTTTTGTCTAAAAAGATTTTGCTCACTATATTATCTCCCAATGATGAAAGATGGATGGAAGGTATTAAATTCAGATAGAACTTAAAACTAGTTTACTTTCCTTATGAATGAGATGCCTTGTTCTTGACTTGCCAAATAAACAACTTCACAAATGTGTCTCCCAAGAGAAGTTCAGTAAGTTTCTGCTACAATGTAGGTGAGACTGTGGCAACTATTTTTTATCGTAGACCCACCTTTCACTGAAAGAGAGAGGAAGAAGCTAACTTTATTAACTACAAATTGCACCCAATCAACTGTCTTAGTCCACTCTGGCTGCTATAGCAAAATATTATAGATTGGGTGGCTTACAAACAACAAAATCTATTTCTCACAGTTCTGAAGGCTGGAAAGTCCAAGATCAAGGTGTTGGCAGATTCGGTGTCTGGTGAGGGCCTGCTTCCTGGTTCACAGACTGCACTCTTTCTCCTAAAACATCACATGGCAGAGGAGTCCAGGGCTTTCTCTGGGACCTCTCTTCCAAGGGCACGAATCTCATTCATGAGGGCTCTACCCTCATGACCTAATCACTTCCCCAAAGCCCCACCTCCTAATACCCTCACCTTGGGGATTAGGTTTCAACATATGAATTTTGGGGGGAGACATTCAATCTAGAGCATCAACCTGCCTTACACAGCTCTTCTCTTCCAGGAACCAGTTTTTCTGGTATAATCTGAAGGGGCTGCCGTGGATCCTATGCCTGAGGGCAGGGGTGTGGGGAACAGGACCAGGAAGAGGGTGGCAGGACTAGCTAAGCCCCAAGGGGAGGGAAACCCTCAGAGATGAGATCTGAGTAGGAGAGAGGATGGCTGGGTACATTCCACTTATTTAATTTCCATTCACCTCTGTTAAAGAGAAAATGTCTTTCTTTTCTGGTTTCCATAAAGAGGGATTTCTCTCTAGGCACCTTGGCTGTCTGCCATAACCCCCAATCCTCCCCCAAGGAAGTAGACTGAGCTACCCACTTGGTGGACGACGGCCATAGGTCCATGTTTCTAGATGAGGGACACTAAAACATCCAAGGTCCTGAGGCCTAGAGAAATTCTCTTTCTTTGCTCTACTTGGACCAGAGGAGGCAAGTTACCCGAGTTAAGCGTGTCCATTGTGCTGACTTCAACTTTCCCCACAGATCTGCACATCGGTTACTGGGAGTGTAGAAGTCTACATGAAAGTGCCTCCTTCAGCCTAGGCTGTATTAGTCAAAAGGGGGACATTTGTTTTTCTGCCTGCTGGCT